ATGAGGTAAATCCAAGACCATCATGTATTCATGATTTGAATCCTGGGTTGTGTGAAATCCCAGAAATAAACCTTAGACAAAGTGAATCTGTGAACTAAGGTGTAGGTCTGTTAGGTTATGTTGTGGTGATCCTTGGGTTGGGGGATTTGTGTTCATACTGGAGTGCAAAATTAAAACCAATGGAAGATAGACAAAAAAAGTTCAAAGCCATCAGGTGCTCAGTTTAGAAAAAATAGAAAAGAAGAGGAGGAGAAACGAGCAAAAGATACAGCTAAGCAGATGTGTCATTGGATAATGGCAGGTCATCCTGAAACAATCAGAATCAGAATACTTTATTAATCCCTAAGGAAATAAAATAGAGCACATTTCATTCATAATGTTGTAAATTCATGATTTGAATCCTGGGTTGTGTGAAATCGCAGAAATAAACCCTGGACAACGCAAATCTGTGAACTAAGTTGTATGTTGTGTTGTTCCAAATCTAAGGAGCTTGGAAAGAAAAGCATCTGGACTTCTTTAAATTGCTTGAAGACGTTTCACCTCTCATCTGAGAAGCTTCTTCATTTCTAAGGGTCAAATTGTGGAGAGTCCCAGATTTAACCCAAGTGGGAGTTTCCCCCCAAAGAGAGACAAATGACCCCCTGATGATCCTCTACCTAATCACTAGGTGTGAAAGCGGGTGTGAGTCACAATCCAGAGTTTCGGGTGAGTTCATTGTGAAACCTAGCCCCACCCATCCTGAGGTCAGATGGCTCAGGGTGTGAGTGGGTGCTAAGGCTGCTGGGAAGGGATCTCAAAACTGGATTATGGCAGGCAGTCGATGTCGTAAGCCACCGCCTCTGTTCAAAGATATTTGCTCACAGTGGACATAAATGGCTTCTTTCACTCCTCTTTCAAACCATCTGTCTTCTCCGCCCAAAATGTGAACATTGGCACCCTCTAAAGAGTGACCTTTATCCTTAAGATGCAGATGGACTGCTGAGTCATGGACTGCTGAGTCTTGTCCTGTGGAGGTGGCTCTTCTGTGTTGTGCCATGCGCTTGTGAAGTGGCTGTTTGGTCTCTCCAATGTAGAGGTCTG